ACACATTTCATACTTTGTGCAAAAATTCACATTCAAATTTTTATTCAGATTTCTTTTGAGTATGCAGTCTTATAGCCCATTAAATTCTAGTATAATTAAATGCATTTTGAAGTTGACAAAAAATATCGAGTTGATTTTTACATTTTTTCACGCATTTTCTGCCCCAAAAAGTATGTAAATATATTCAACTATTTATTTGTTAATTTTATTGTGGCGTATTAATGTTTATTCCAACATTGTTACTGAGCTTTGTACCACGATTTGTTTGTTAGGAAATGATTAATAAAATAAATAAATAAAATTAACAAATAAATAGTTTGGGATGAGCCTGCCTAAGACTATGCAATAATTGTAATTAATGTATAGAATTAACAATAACATATGGAATTCCATTTTATCCCTAAGGCAGATACCCAACTTTTACTAGGAGAATGCATACCCGGATACATTCATTTGTACCTCAGAATGAATTTTTCTCCTTTTCTTATATTTTTCGAAGAAATATGAAATTTTTTAACAAGCTATTGTTAGTTTAATGCTTGTTTAATATAATTTGCACGATGGTAAAATTAATGCGCACCTAATGCTATTGACTAATTGCCTATGCGTTGGAAAAAACTAATTTGAAAATGGTCATGTGAAGAAGTCTATCGGTTTTTCACTTTATTCACCATTCTGCTTGTTGTATTATTGTTCTCGAAAATATCAAATATTTTTAATTTCTTCTCACAAAAATTATAAATTGTTAAAATCTATTTGCATGTGAAACCTTTTTCCATACAAAACCAGCGATTGAATAGCAGCTTTTGGAACGCTCGCTCAACTCAGCAGCACAACCGCTGATTACTGGGCCTGGCACAGGATGGATAAATGCTTCCAGAAGCAAACCAATTTACTAAGAAAGAAAGTTGCAACAATTTTCAATTTTTCAATAAAAATCTTTTATACCAGAAGCAACAACAAAATACAGGCAAATGTTGTTTTTGCTCAAATGCTCTAAACCTGTTTGATAGGCCTTGAATTAAACAAAAAAATGTGATATAATTCATATGAAGAAAGTAATATTCACAAAATATTTTTTTTTTATGAAAATTCTAACAAAATATAAGGACAGCATCGTCTTTAATAACTGCTCGGCATATTGTATATAGCGCTTTTGTATGAATTTTATCTGCATGCTTTTTAATATGCTAAAAACATTGCTGGAAAGCTTTAAAATGTTTGCATGGAACGATGTCGCAATAAACAGGTGAAGTAATAAAACGGCTTTCTCGCTTTACTTTCTGACATTTGGCTGCCTTATATACACATTTTCATGCAAATTTTCAAATAAGGCAGTGGCACCTTGTAAATTCTACTATGGGTGGGATGAACGCAATAACACCATGCACAATAATTCCCATTACTTGGACATTATAAAACAGTTTCAGAAGTGAACTAGTGTCATTTTATTATTTTTCTATTTTCTAAACGGTTATAATGCCACCAGTGCATAATTGCGAAAGTAGGGCAGGAGGCGCGGGACGCGAGCGCGACGTCGAACGCGGCGCGCGAGCTTACAAATCCGTCCATTTAACTTGTTCATGTCATACTTTTTGTCAAATGTAACTGGGTGATTACCTTTGTGCACTATTTCGCTTTATTACTCAATTGTTAAGTTTGCTAAACGAGAAATGAAATAAAGCAAATTTGTGTTATTTCACATTCAATTGGGCGTTATTGCCGTTTGTATTATTTCCCCCCCCCCCCAAACCGGCCCTTAGTGAAATAATATACATGAAATTCTCGAAGTAGAACAAAACCAAATATAACAAGTGCAAACTAAGCCCAAAAATTAATATTGTCATTGTCTTCGTTGTTTGCTCAGTCACTATTTATTTATATATGTATATGGGGTATTCTTTCTGAAAAATTTTCGAGTTTCCGCTTTTGAATAGCGAAAGTTTGATTCATTACCTTTCCAATAGTACCACGCTTTTGTAAATAGAGCTAGAAATATTGAACTTATAACGGAGTTTTTTTTTGACTCAGCTTGACTTTTTTATCGATCCCATTCCAGCCCATAATTTAAAAAAAAATTTAGTTTTTAAGTCCATTTCGGTCAGTTTATAATTCGTTTCTATTAGGAGATTCTAAATTTAAGTTTTTGGCATTTTAGCTTTTGTAGTTAGTTAAATATTTCAGCTTTTGCCTTTTTAAAAAATACAGTTATATAATAGATTGGCGTGACAGCACCTCTAAATGACCAATTTTTTTGTAAAAAAGATTCGCCTATCTTATACCGTACCTTGTGCAATATTTCAGTAATCTATCTTCAATAGTTTTCGAATTACCGAATTAAATGCAGCTAGATGGGCTAAATTTTAAAATGTGCGACGGATCGACATACGTACATTTGTATATATAAACATTTTTCATTTGAATCAATATTAAAAGTCTCCCCTGAACTGTTTCTTTCATATTTTTGGCCCATGTGCGCTTCTTATAATAATAATAATAATAATAATAATAATAATAATAATAAAAGACTGGCGTTTACACATTTGTTAGTGTTTGGCCAAGCTTCTCCTCCCATTTGTGGCGTGCGCCTTGATGTTGTCACACAAAGCGGATGGACCTACAGTCTTACGCCGACTCCGAATGGCGATTGTATTTCTATGAGAAGCTGTTTTTCTTGGCAGAAAGGAGGTTTGCCATTGCCTGGCGAGGGGCGACAGCTGTTAAGAAAAAAGTTTTTTCTATATTTTTTTGCGATGACCAGGGCTTGGACCCAGGCCCTGCGGAGTGGTAGTGCCCACTGCTAACCACCACACCACCATTAGAGATCTAATTATTCCGGTACCGAGTATCGATCAAAACTTATAAGTATCGATTCAGCACATTACTAGCAGCAGCCTTCCATATATTTTGTATAACTAGACGCGAGCGAGTATAATCTGTCTCTGCTGCTCTAAAGTTAGCAAAATGATTATCCTCCAAATGCTTTCGAATAGCAGCTGATGCTCACACTTAGGGCCGTTTGCACCATGTCTAGTTAACGCTAACTGGAGGTACATCCTTCAGTTAATCACGTTAACTGCTTTATCGATCACATGTTATATGATGGGTGTCGATAACGTCGATAAAGATGTTTAACTGGGAGTTAGAATTAACTAGACATGGTGCAAACGGCCCTTAGGGAGTTCACAAGGTGTTGTATACTTTTGTTTTGTTGTATGTCGTAAACTTTAAATGACTAAAACTATATTTAAGGGATTCGCAAAGCTACCATAAAAGTGGTATTATCTATGAAATTTCACGCCGCACAGTGACAGTTGACAATACATATGTAGGCAGGTAGAAAAAAGTCATGGTGACAGTTGATAAAAAATCGGCTGAGCTTAAAGAGGGAAAAGTAAAAGTCATAAATACAAAATTTCACATAATTTACTCACCCCATATATGTAATACTTCTATATTGGCAGTAAGCTAACTTCTCAATGTGTAATCATTCCGAAATCAAAGCGAGACAGTCTAGTACCGTTTTTGTCAATGTATTGTGTGATTGAGTGCCGTTTTTAACTGACTTACAAAAAAGGAGGAGGTTATCAGTTTGTCGGTATTTTTTTTTTTTTTTTTGTTTTTTTTATGTATGTTACCGCATAACTTTGGACCACGTCAACCGATTTTGCATCGGAAAGGTAGTGTCTCAGAGGTGGTCCCATACTAATCTGGTTAAGATCCGATCAGTGGATCATGAGATATATATATATATATTTTTTTTTATATGGGAGTTGAAGTCGGTTTTTTTTTTGCTAAAAGTTACTTGTTGTATATGTATTGTGTACATGTTTATTTATAAACGTATGTGTTCCTTTTCTTTCGTACGTGTTTATTGATATATCTGTACTGTGGTGTTTTCGGACGGTACTAGCTCTTACTGCCAATATAGGAGTATTACATATATGACTCACCCCCCTCTCCACGAACGGTACATTTCCAACAAAAACACGATTAATCAGTTTAGTTGCGTTTGGCACTTACCCCATTATAGCAAGTGTTTCTTTTTTAACTGTAATCAATTACTTAAGTGTCGTGGAATATTTAGGTGATGGTATTTATCATTTATTTGGTATTTTCCTATTTTTTTTATCAAAAAATGTATTTTGAAATGTAGATGCTACCATGATAAAAATATAGTAAGGTAGAACCGCTGAGAGTCGCTTTTAAGATTCTTGACGTTTCCAAACAATTTAATTTTTAAATTTACTCACAAACTCACACACACATTTTCATTTTCAAACTCAAGCAACAACAATTTCGAACAATTTCAATTTTTTATTTTCACTTTTATATGATTTTAAAATGTTGGCAAACTTCAAAAAAAAATCATGGCCGACAAATTGAGAGAACGGTTATACCTTGCTATGTTTTTATCATGGATGCTACAGATTATTAGTAAAAAAGTGAGAGTACAGGTCCGTCAGGTCTTGAAATTAGATGCATGTTTTCGCACAACTTTGCAAACACATAATTTAATAATTTCGCGAAAAGAATTTTTCGAACAATGGGAAAATCTCACCACTCATTGAGAGAAAAGAGAATATTTACACCTTTGTCATTTTAAAGTATAACCTTTGTTTCCTGAGCGTGGAAAGCAGGCAATTATTCCATCTTTACCAAATTTCATAATTCCCTATTTTTAAGTAAAATTAGAGCACATGTCTAGTTTCGGCGAAATCGGTGGAGGTTAACTATTATTTCCAGTTGCCTCTATATAGTCGAAAGACTGTGCACCGTTAAAAAATACACAATTTGTTGTGGTTTCAAGTCCTCTACACATTTATTTAGCTGTTAAAAACTTTACGACATAAAACAATACGACACTTACGACACCTTGTTAACCACCTAACTCTACTGAGAAAAACCAGAAATTTTCAGTGAAATCAATGATTGTGATGTATTTTCAATCTTTTATTTTTTTCTCTTATTACTTCTTTATAATAAATACTAAGTTTTCTTTGAATAAATACATATGTATGTATGTATATTTAACTCAACTCATACATACATACATACATACATGTAGTACAATGACCACGGCAATCACTTCAACAGTTAATATTTACAATATTTTACATAACACTAAGTAAGTTTGATAAAATTAAATGTTAAATGTTATGCAAATCATAAGATGTATACGTAGATTGAAAGTCTAAATTTAAATGTTATTTCACAAAGCATTTTTCTAACCGCCCCAATGCATAGTGAGTTTGGAAACAAAACAAGCAACAATTATGGAAATGTTTAGATTAATAATGAGTTTTTAAAGTTAATGAATTTATTAACCAATAACTTAATACATATGCGTAAAATTACGACAAATTACTTTCGCTTGCCACTCGTTTCTTCAATACATTAAAATTATCAACAATTTTGGTATGTTAGTACACTTCAGCCAACGAACATATGTGCACACTTATATGCATTTCATGAACTGATGCATACATACATAAATAAGATTTGTATTAATGCCTCTTACTTTAATTATGCTATCATAAAAATTGTATTAATTAATAATTAATATTCTAATTTTCTTGTATATAATTTAAAATCACACGATAACTTGATAAAGGAATCTTGTGTACACTCATAATACGTACATGCATTGCATACATACGGGTACGTACGTATGTAGTCGGTAATGGGTTTATACAGTTATGAATTGACTTACATCCACATCGATGCACACATATCTACATATGTACGTTAATCAACTATTGGGCCACTCGAGGTAATGGTTCTTCATTTAAATTTTAACAAAGCGATCAAAACGCCAATTGTACTTCTATACTAAAAACTACAAATTATTTTTGCTTTTATTTTAATACAGTACCGGCACCGGTCGCCTAAGCGCGTTATCCATCGCCGATGATACCGAAGTGTCCATACCGTTTGGCGTGATGGTGCCGGGAGAGGAGCCTGGGGATGATGTCGACGATGAGTTGTAGAGTCCCGCCGCTGCGGCGTTGGCGGAGTGTGCGGCGTACAAGGAAGGCGCTGATATGCCAGAATATATGCCCGAGTAGAAACTGCTCAGCGTCGTGGGCGGCAGCTGTGGGGCCTTTTGGGCCTCAAGTACATTGTGTGATTGATTTGTGGCTGCTGCAGCGGCGGCAGCCTGTGTTTGATGCAATTTGGATAGCGCCAGCGGATCGAAGCCTCCGAAGTACGGCACTGGGTAGGGCTGATCCAGGTGATGCGAAGGTGCGAAATATGGTGGCAGTTGATGAAATGGATTGTAGGCACCAGCACCAGCGGGGCATGCACCGCCACCCAATTTCTGTTGCCCTTGCGCGGCTTGCATCTGCAGAGCTTGCGGTCCGCCAGAGAGTGGATTCTTTGGTTTGCGGCGTGGGCGATATTTGTAATCTGGGTGTTCTTTCATGTGTAAGGCGCGCAGACGCTTGGCCTCGTCGATGAAGGGTCGCTTCTCAGACTCAGCGAGCAACTTCCACTCGGCACCAAGACGTTTTGAAATTTCCGAGTTGTGCATTTTTGGGTTATCCTTGGCGATTTGTCGTCGTTGTAGACGAGACCAAACCATGAAGGCATTCATTGGCCGTTTGATGTGGCCTTCTTGTCCCGGTGATGTGGGATGATGGTGTAGACTACTGCCGCCATTGCTGCTACCGCCGGCATTAACGCTCTGGCCATGTCCCAACGAGCCTATCGAACCCTGACTGCCCATGCTGCCTGCAGATCCAATGGAGGAGTTTGGTGAGAGAGTTTGGTGTCCGACGGCAGTTTGCATGTGATTGCTTGCGGACAAATGGTGCAAACCGTTATTAAGGTGACCACCGCTGCCAATGTGGCCCATGCTGGCCGTGCCCATAATGGAGTTGCCGTTGCTGGCTGCGTGACCACCTACGGGTGAGCCACCCATTGCGGCGGAGATAGCCGCTAATCCACCAGATTGCGAAAAGTGCATTACACGCTTTATATCCATGTCTGTAGGACTGAGTGTGTTTTGGGGAGCATAATCACCAGGTGTGGGTATATCTAAACCCTGGCTAAGATGGAATCCATAATTGGGATGCGAGGATAATGCCGTCATTATAATGTTTTAAGTCTTCAATTTAATTGATCCGCGAAAATTCACTCAAGATGTTTCAATTAAACTGTTTCCTTAGTCTATTTTCCACTGTTTTTGTCAAATGCTTGCACTAGAAATTCAATTAGCTGTTCACAATGCACATTTACTGTTTTCTTTTCGAACTGTTTCTTGTTTTTTAGAGTATATTAGTTTTCGCTTTATTCTTCTCAGTGAAATTCTCTTATTATTCATTTCATTTTTAAATATTCATTCTTCACTTTTTTATTTATTTATTTTTTTTCGTTTAGCCTGCCAGCAATTCAACTATTCATGCTTCTGTTCACTTCAACAGCTTCGTACAGACTGATTTCTCTGCACAACAATCACCGACCGTCTACAAACTCAAAAATATTCAGTTTTCACTTCTTCCGCACAATTCCGCCCCGAATGGAACAATGCCAACTTTAACAAGGTACAAGCCCAATAATTGTACGCCTCTCACTCGCTCGCTCTTTCTTCTTTTATTGAGGTGCTTTCAATTTATTATCTGCTCTCAGACCATTTACAGTGCGCTATTACGCTACGTTTCTTGTGTTGTGCCCACGTCAAATGCTCAACTACGTTTGCTTGCAAAAACAATGTGGTCCAACCACTATATACTTAGTACCTAAACGTGAGAACGTCACGAATACTGGTGAATAGGGAACTCGGCTTTTGACGCTCTGCACTAGTGTACCCCTAAATTCGCTCACTAACCTACACACATATACACCCAAGCACGTCACCGAAGAAATACACACTCACAAAGGCTTAGGTGAGAGATGAATACACAGTGGCAGTCTCGCTTCCACTGCTGAAGAAATAAGCGTGCACTGTAAAATAAATATAGGAGAAAATCCGCACAAACAATTTGACAAGAGCGAAAGGAATGCATTCATACACTTCAAAGAAAGAGCCAATAGCAATTGCCTTCTGTCCAGGGGGCATTAATCTTCGGACAAAGCAAGACAACAATATTGGTGCGCAATGCAATAAAACTATTAACTAGTGCTAGTGGCCAGTGTGGCAGCCAAGATGATGGTGTTGTTTTTGGTGCTGGTGTTGTTGTTCTTGTTTTTGTTTATATGTGATTGTTGGTTTTGGGGATGGTGGTAGCTATTCATGCGGCAACTCTGCCTTTGTCATTTGCCAATGAACAAAAGCTGCGCACAGCGCTGCTTTATTGCATATTGTACGCTCGGTTTTGTGAGTGAGCCTGTCGGTAGTCCACTGAGATGCATAGATGTCAGTGTGTCTTTGTTGTAGCACTTTGGCTGGTTGTTGCATTGTTTGTTTGCTGTACGCATGTTTTGTCCTCGCAACTGTGCTAAACACTCGACTTCCCCAGTAGTTGCCATTGCATACCTACATTCGGTCATATGAATGGGGAAGAGTGGCTTGTGGGGTATATTTTCAATGTAAATGGTACATTGTGCCAAAGGCGTAAAGGACATTAACGTCGATAGAATAGGCGTTTGTCTACTAAACAATATGCACATGAAAACTCTTTATGACTTACTTGATTCTCATTATCAAAGCCCCTAATATGTATGCTTTTATGTTAATTATATGTATAGGTACTATTTTATCTTCGTCTCCTGTTATAATTTTTATAATAGCGTAAATAAGGATAACACTAAGTGAATTGTTTGAAATAAAATAGAAGGCACTTTATAAAATACATCCTTCCTAGATAGGTGTGTACATATGCATGTATACATACATATATGTATGTATATGTACTTATATATCTGTGGTCATAAGCAATAACCGCCTAAGTCGACTTAAGAAAGAATTAAGTTATATATGCTATCGTTTTCTGCAACTACTGTTCCATGTGTTTGTGAAACTCCCATCTCGTTACTTAAGCTATTTAAAAAGTTATAGATGAAAATATTTTGGTTTACCCCATAAGGTTAACATTACAATCCAAATCTTTAAAATGTTTTTTCTCGAATTCAGGTTTTTCGACTTCGGCGATTATTGCTTATGCAGAAAGTGCAAACTCCACGGTGCTAGGTGTTCCGTGGATGATTTTAAGGCACTAAAAACTTGAAAAAAGCAAAATGAGCTCTGAAAAAAGGCATATATTTTTTGATTTTGTTATGTACTTCCTTTAAGTACAATGTGCATGTCCAATTAAAGATATAAAAAAATACATACAGTGGTCAGAAAATTATAGCCGAACCACTTTTTGCCAAATATTAACGTATTATTTTCGTTGTTATTTAATTTTGGTAATGTTGTTAAAAAAAAACTAGCTGACCCAGCGAACTTCGTACCGCCCAAAATTAATTTTTTTATTGAAACATTTGGTCCAACGTTTTCGCCAACAACCTGACGAAAGCGTTATACCGGGAAGAAGTCCTTGCGGCACGATAGTGAAACGTCCTTGAATCTGTATAGCATAGTTGGTGGCAATTTCTAAACTGGTGATTATCATTGGTCCACATTCTGTTTAGTCACCGTAAAGCAAGGACCGCAATGGTTCTGATGATTGATTTAACGGGAGTAATTTGACTTTGATCTCTGGTGCCTCCGAATCGACGATTTTTAACAATAACTCGGCTCCAGCGCCACTACAAATTATCATTAAAATCGCTTCGGTCGTTTAGGAGGAGTTAAGCCAGCAGATTAAATCTTTTACATCCTGACACTCTTCGGCATTTTTTCCCATATCGTTACACCCGCTCGCGAGATCACCTCTTATAAAAAGAAGGAGCTTCTCTTTAAATAATTAGTGTAGGTAACACAGGCCAACGCCGATTTTGATGCGGCAAATGTTGAAGCTCTTTTTGATAGGCTTTTTTGTGCTGATTAAGAAGCCGTGAGTATAAAGTTTCCGTCAGCTCCAGATTTTGAGAAAAATGTTGTGAAAGTGTAAAAAAACAGTACTTTCAGGGATGGTGGTCTGTAGTTCTAGCTTTAATTTAAGCCTACGTGGAAGGTTCTATCACATTTTGCTTAATTGCGGTAAGTACTCAAACTTCCCAAAATCAGTTATTCCCGTTAAACAAATGACTATAAGCGACCATCGCGCAAAGGTGCAGGATAGTATTCGAGATTTTTAGCTTTAATCAAAGCCTAAGTGGAAGGTTGTTTCTTTGCTAGAGCTTCTCAAATATTATAAAATCGCGATTTTTTGTCACTATGACCTCGTTTTTCTTAAAATCTGGAGCTGATGGAAACTTTATGCTTACGGATTCGTAATCAGCACACAAAAATTCGGCAAAAATAGCGTTAACATTTGCTGCATCAAATTTTTTCAAATTTTTGTTGGCCTGTGTAATAAGTATTGATCAAATGCCTGTCGAACTGTAAAACAATGACTCGATTCTATTCTACGCATATCTATAATAAGGGTATCAAATTTCAAGCAAATCGGACCATAAATAAGATTTTTTGGAATTGATCGGTATCTGGTCCACCTATCAGCAAAAATATCCTATATGTTAACCCAGCCAATAAGCTACCTACGTGTTAAACTTCAAGCAAATCGAACCATAAATAAGACTTTTTTGAATAGATCGGTCCCTGGCTCACTTAACGAAAAAAAAGTTTCCTTTATGCTAATCTAGGCAAAGGGCTACCAACGAACCAAATGCATTTTTTTAGCGTAGCTTTACCCCTGCGCCCCCTATCGGAAAAATTAAAACTTTGTGCACTCCTTCTTCTAAACACCTTTCCAAACGCTGCACACATTCGAATCGGTTATGAAACATAGGAGAACATTGTTCCCAATTGATTCATGCTCCCAATGAATTTCACAATTATCCGAAATTTTCCAAGCTTTCGTCGAAATAAATTCAAATTTTTCACGTTCTTCTGGATTTTTTCCGAGTTTTCCACTCAGAATTTTCTGTTTTTCCATTCGAATGCCATTCCGAAGGAATTGCACACAAAATTCCATACAAAAAAACCAATTTTCGATTTTTCCAATTTTGCGACTTTCCCGGAGAGTTTTCCGAAAATTTTATCCAAATCGGCACAACCGTTCTCAATTGATGAATTACTATACATTTTTCACACCATTTATATATATATACATA